TTTCCAGCTGTCAACCAGCAAAACGCAAGTACAAACAATAACTTCGATCTGCTGAACTGGTGAATTTAGATTCTCTGCTTTGTGAATTCTTAAGGCGAATTTACATCACTCGTGAAAATGAGGTAGAACTATGAAACTCAGAACTCTGTTAACATAATTTTCTTCCTCTGAAACTGTATGTTTGTGTGTATTTGTGTTTTAGCTTAGTTGATGTAATCTAGAATAGCCAATAACATTTCATGTTTCATTTATAAAGAATAATGTTGGTGTCATATAATTTCAAGGTTAAAACTGTTGCCAAAGATCCCTTGCTTGCTGCCTAGCTCGTAGCTTACTCATAATAATTACCTCTCTCTAAGAGCTGACAAATTGTCATAATTGTGTTAACCCATGGCCAGGGAGAACATAAAATACATATTCAATTGGTAATATACACTGACATTAACTTCTCGCTGGCCGAGTAGCTGATAGAGTGTAAACTATCAAATTTAGAATCAATTTGAATCAGGTTGAATTAGGCTCTTCAGATCCTAGTCCTCTAAAACCTGAATTAATAATAATTAATTCCCTTACAACTGAGTTAAAATTCCTTACACTGATTTCCCCCTTTCAGATTCAGAGAGCTTTAAAAGTATCCGATTCTGCATTTGTTTATTAATCTGTCTTTTATTAACTAATAAACTCTTCAATAAATCACTATACAGATATCCAGGCACTGAACAATCAATTTTAAACATGTAAACATTAAAGGAAAGTTATTATTGTCATTCATTATAGTTACTCACTTAAGTTCTCCAGATGTTTTGAGCACTGGTCGAAGCATCAGAAGATGTTCCTCTGATCGATGAGATTTAATCTCAGCCAGCTGCTCTTCTGAATTCAGCAACACAAACACCAGAGCTGAAAACTGATCAGGAGAGAGTCTGAGTCCAGATTTCAGCTGTGTTTTTATCTGCTGGATTAGATAACGCTCATCCAGCTCTTTCAAAGCATCAAACAGGAGACTGCATTTGTCTGCATCTGGAGAGGAATTCATGATCAGTGTTTGGATGTGTTGAACTGTGAGTTGACTGCATGAAGAGCTGCTTTCTCTCTGTGTCAGGAGGTCTTTTAAAGCTCTCTGACTGGACTCCAGCATCAAACCCAGTACAAAGCAGAAGAAGAGATCCATCTGTTTGTGTAAAGCACTTTCCATCACATCCTGGAGTTTGTGATGTCTTGTGAAGCTCTGCTCTCCGAGCTCAAGTTTCAGACTGGACAGATCTCTGAGTTGGAGTGGATTATTCACATTAATGACTTCAGTCACATATAAAGCTGCCAGAAACTCCTGTGTTCTGTGATTCACGAAACAGAATGATGTACACTTGCTTTTGTCTTCAATCTTCTTTATGATTGATGAGCGTATCAGATCACTTTCATCTCTAATGCCACATTTCTTTAAGTCTTCATAACAGAAGAGAGAGTTTCTGTTCACCAGCAGATGAAACGCTATTCTCCCCAGAGCTATGATGGTCTCTCTTCTCTCTCGAATCAGTTCAGTCTGAGCTAACAGGAGTCTGCTGTACATCTGAGTGAGGGTCTTGGGGAAATCATCTCGGCCTGTACTGAACATTTCAGGAATCGCTGCGATGATTCTGCAGTAATCTGGTAAATAACACATGCTGCTGATGCGTGGAGATTTCTGGATGTGACTGATGACTTTATCACTCATTCTCTGATCACTGATGCTCTTTCTGAAATATTTCTGCTTCTGCTGGTCATCAAAGCCCTGGATCTCTGTCACACGATCAATCCATCGAGCAGGAATCTGATTGGCTGCTGCTGGTCTGCTGGTGATCCAGATCTGAGCGTTTGGAAGCAGATTTCCCTTGATCAGGTTTGTCAGAAGATCAGAGACTGAGGCTGGATCATTTAGATCAGTAATCCTCTTTGTGTTCTGGAGTTTAAACTCATTGAGTCCATCAAAGACCAGAATGATCCTGTCAGAGTCATGAAGTTTCAGATGTTCAGTGTTTTCAAAGCATCGCTGCAGAAGCTGCATGAAGCTACACTCCGTCACCGTCTCTCTGATAATGTTCAGCTTCTGAAAAGGTATTGGAAATATATAATCGATATCAGTGTTTGATTTCTCTTCAGCCCAGTCCAGGATGAACTTCTGCACAGTCACAGATTTTCCAGTTCCTGCATCTCCCTTCATCAATACGGTCCTGATATTCTGTCTTTTATCACTGATGTGAGGATAAGTTTTCTCTGTGATGTGGGGTTCAATGAAGACATCATTCAGTTTTTGACTTTCTCCAGGTTTTTCATTCAGATACTGAAACTCCTCCTTCAGTCTCCGTTTCAACATTTCTGATACTACAAAGACACAAACACAGCACGACTGCTTTACATCACATGCTTTTCTATTACACTTACATGAGCAGAGTGCAACAAACCCATTTAATTATTAATCATTTAATTATTTTTAATTTTTATATTTTATAACTATTTCATTATTATTATTACTATTTTCTTATTATTTAAAAATAGTAATAAAAAAATTGTGACTGAGACTGTTAATACAGTTTTGGGTGCTAGACAAGACTGGCTGTTAACAGGTTTTGGGTGTTAGACAACTCTTTCTAATCTTGTTTGAATACCAGACAAAACACATTATTTTCTGCAGAACATACAGAAGTGTTCTTCTAGTTCAATTGTGAGTGTTTTATGTTCCCTTGTTTCTAAAAAGTCCTTAATACAAACTGAGAAAGCAGATGACTACAACAATGAGTGTCTAAATATGACAAGAAATAGTGATGCAATAATTCCTCTACAGATAACAAAACCTCTAATGATATAAATCACATGTATGTTATTAGTTACCTGAAGACTGAGTCTGTATGCTGATCTTTGGGTTGATCACGGATGGCTTGAACTGCTCCAATAATAAAAAAAAAGACAAACTCCACATTATGAGGCTAAATGGCACTCTTAATATCTTAATTTAAGGTTTAATCCAGGAGTAGACTTTAAACTACATTTACTAAGACCCTGAGATCATATTGTGCTCATGAACAATAACAATACCTTGATGCTGGAAACACCAGGATTCTTCAGTACATTCAAATTCTGAACTCTGCAGGAGAAGAATAGCTTTTTTCACTTTAAGTAGAAAAAGGCTTACATTTGAATATGTTTCCTCAACTTAAGCATTTTCTAATTTTACAGCAGATTCTGGATTTATTTTATTAACCACCACATTTGGGAAAATCACATTTTGTTATAATTGCTTTTCAGTTTTTTAATGTTTTACATATACAATGAGGTCACTCATCAACTCAGCAAAAAAACAAACAAACTGAAACATCACCCAACTTTTATTAAACCACGTTTATTTATTGTCTCAATTTCTTTGCCGAGCTGCGTATGAATGCCTGTCACACATTGACTCTATTTCACAATTTACCTGTATATTTAAAGTGTATCATAAAAGCTTCAGAAAACTTGCTGATCATGAATAGCAAAATAAGGAAGCATGACTAGTTTGGTACAAAAAAGGGGCCTTTTTCAGAATATTTACACATATAACTGTAAAATATAAGAGGACTCTCCCACCTTCTGCCGTCACTGGAGTGTGTTTGTGGTCTCAATGCTGGATCACTGGTCTCTTCATCTGCTCCTGAAGAAGCTTCTTCTGTTTCAAATGGCCATAAGAAGATAAAAACAGTGTTTTGTGTGTGTGTGTATTTGTTTTTAGAAATGATGTGCTCATAGGATATAAAATATAAAGTTTAAGTATTATGATTTGCATTTTAATTTGATGCATGTGAATGTTTGTCTTGAACTTTTCATTTAGGACTTTCTATTTAGTTTCATTATTGGACACTTCTACACTAAGACATAGTTAAAAGTTGTTATTTAAAGATGCTCTTTTGAAATTATAGGCTATGCATTAAAATTATTTTTGAGTCACATGAATGGCAATGCATCCCCTATATTTTCAAAAGTACAATTGCATGTGTTTCATACCCCTTTTGCTCTTCGTTCTCACCTATGCCAGAGTCACTGACTGAAGTGTTGCTTGTGTGCTTTTGAGAATCTGGTGCTCTGGAGATCCAATCATATACATATGGCCTGTTTTGGGCATCAGGTAATCTGTTCCAAGAGCCTTGAAATGCGTGATTTGTGAGCTTTTCAGTCGGTTTCAAAACTAGAGATAGACAGAAGACAGTTTGACCAATATTTCTTTTTTTTAACAATTATCACACTTTTATACTTAATGTCATTGTTTTTAATATTTAATCTGCAAATAAATGGACGTCATTTATTTATGTCATTAAAACTTGTATGACTTACTTTCTTCTTTGAAACAAATACATTTTGAAAGATACCTCAGTGTTTTTTGGCAATGCAATGAATGTCAATGGGGTCTAATCTTATTGGTTTCCAGTGCTCTTCAAAATGTTCTCTGTGTTCCACAGAAGTAAGTAAGTAATACAGGTTTGGAACAGTGAAAGACATAATTATTATTTTTGGTTTGGTTTAAGCTCTGTTGACATGAGACTTGTCACACTGAATTTGTCTGTGTAAAGTTACATCTAATCTGTCAACTAATATCATGCAAAGCCAGATAACATGTCAAAGCACCAGTTTATCTGCATATGTGTACAAAGACATTGGAAAGGGACATGACATAACTATTCACAGTGTTTACAATAAGTGAACTAAGCCACTGAAATTATGTCTGTAACAAGTCTATTCATCTTGAACTGTAGTCTCACGCTCAAAATGACATTTTTAGAAAAAAGAAGCACATACACTGGGAAGATTCAGAAACTGCTGGAGACGAACGACCCTCAGTGCTGCTAAATGTAGTCGAGTGACCGTCTCCTTCAAAGTCAATGCCTGCAACACACAGATACATCAGTTTTTATTTAGTCTCACTTTTGTTTGTTTTTATTTTATTTTTTCTCCCTGTTCCCATTTGTTTGCCTGAGTTCCCTAGTTCGTCTCCTTGGTTGTTAATTAATCATTCTCGTAAATGCTACAGTATGTGTGTCACACTGCTGCTGCTACTGTGACGGAGCTAGGAGACGAAGAGGAATCCGTAGTAAGTCTTTATTTACACAAAACCAAAACAAAGCACACGTAGCAGAGAGGATAGATGAACAATACCAGACATTAGACATGGAAAGACACAGGGCTTAAGTAATGGGACTAATCAAGATAACAAGGGGAACACAGGTGGAATCAACTGATCATAATGAGGACAGGAACGGGAAGACCAAAAATAGGCATAGAGGAACACGGGGGGAAAAGCAGGACATGGAGCACGTGGGGAACAAAACACAAGACACAGAAACACAGGCCTGACATTACTCCCCCCTCCCGGAAGGCGTGTCCACGTGCCATACAACATCCAATGGGGAACATCCAGCGGTACCCATTCCGGAACCCATGGCGGAGGAGTCAGTTCAGGGAGCCATGGCGGAGCTAGGAGCTCAAGGGGCCATGGCGGAGCAGGCAGTTCAGGGAGCCATGGCGGAGCAGGCAGACTAGGGAGCCATAGCGGAGCTGGGAACTCAGGGGGCCATGGCGGAGTAGGCAATTCAGGGGGCCATGGCGGAGCTGGGAGCTCGGGGCTATGGCGGAGCAGGCAGTTCAGGGAGCCATGGCGGAGCTGGGAGCTCAGGGGGCCATGGCGGAGCAGGTAGTTAAGGGGGCCATGGTGGAGCAGGCAGTTAAAGGGGGTCATGGCGGAGCAGGCAGAATTGGGAGCCATGGCGGAGCAGGCAGTTCAGGGGGCCTGGCCTTGGCACTCGGCCCGGCCTCTACTGCCGGATCCCCCTAACCCCTAAGCTTTGCGGAAAATATTGACCACTGAGGCCCTCCGTGGGCCTGACTCGGGAACTGTGGCCCTCCCTGGGCTAAACTCTGGGACTGGAGCCCTCTCTGGGCTAGACTCGGGGGCTGGAGCCCTCTCTGGGCTAAACTCGGGGACTGGAACCCTCTCTGGGCTAGACTCGGGGACTGGAGCCCTCTCTGGGCTAAACTCGGGGACTGGAACCCTCTCTGGACTAGACTCGGGGACTGGAACCCTCTCTGGGCTAGACTCGGGGACTGGAGCCCTCTCTGGGCTAAACTCGGGGACTGGAACCCTCTCTGGACTAGACTCGGGGGCTGGAGCCCTCTCTGGGCTAAACTCGAGGACTGGAACCCTCTCTGGGCTAGACTCGGGGACTGGAGCCGACACTGGAGCGAACTCAGTGGCTGGAGCCGACACTGTGGTTGTGTTTCTCTCCGTTGGTCTCCTGTTTATTGTGTGGATTTATTGTCATTAAAGACTATTTTTGTAATCTGCTTAGTCGTGCACTTCACTACTGCCACTACACATTACAACTTTTAAGTTTACTTCCAAGCTTAAATGAACCATGTACAGTGGGGAAAAAAGTATCTAGTCAGCCACCAATTGTGCAAGTTCTCCCACTTAAAAAGATGAGAGAGGCCTGTAATTTTCATCATAGGTATACCTCAACTATGAGAGACAAAATGAGAAAAAAAAATCCAGAAAATCACATTGTAGGATTTTTAAAGAATTTATTTGCAAATTATGGTGGAAAATAAGTATTTGGTCAATAACAAAATTTTATCTCAATACTTTGTTATATACCTTTTGTTGGCAATGACAGAGGTCAAACGTTTTCTGTAAGTCTTCACAAGGTTTTCACACACTGTTGCTGGTATTTTGGCCCATTCCTCCATGCAGATCTCCTCTAGAGCAGTAATGTTTTGGGGCTGTCGCTGGGCAACACGGATTTTCAACTCCCTCCAAAGATTTTCTATGGGGTTGAGATCTGGAGACTGACTAGGCCACTCCAGGACCTTGAAATGCTTCTTACGAAGCCACTCCTTCATTGCCCGGGCGGTGTGTTTGGGATCATTGTCATGCTCAAAGACCCAGCCAC